AACAGTCACCCAGAGCCTTATTTAACTCACCTCTTCAACTAAGACAAAAAACTACAACACAAGCAAACAATAAAATAAATAACAATAATGATAGTCTGACATGGACATGAAACAGGAAAATCTAAGATGAATACCCTTCATTAGAGCGCCTTTGTTCTGCTGGAGTTGAGCAAGCTGCAGGAGGAAGAGTGGATGAAGCAAAGTCCAGATTTGCTCTCAGTTCACTTACCACCTGAAAATCAACAGCAAAAATTGACAGACATTCTGCATGTATGTCTAAACCTCTGAAGCTAGTACCTGTATTTTGCATAAGAACAGAAGTCCACGAAGTGGTCCAGTCACTTGGAAATGGCTTTTTGGCAGTTTTGGATCATTATAGCCACACAGTGACCATTTATTCAGTTGTAATACAAACTCTAACTTTTGAATCAGTTTGAATGAAATCCTGCAGTGTGATCGGGCTGAAAATAATGGGCAGCAGGTCACTGGTCATGACGGCTGGCCAAAAATTTTTTAGCCCAGACAAACCACAATTCTGGCCAATCAAATCATAGTGATCATTCAAATGAAACTTCTTCACCATGCTACATGTACTAATTGGTTTTAGCAGTAATTAATGAAATACATTTTGAGATTTTACTTGTCGTTTCGGTGCTCTTATTGCAGTAACCATGAAGCAAGGTTAAGGACAATGTTTACTCTTACCTCAAATGCATCACTGTCACCAATAGATTGAAGAATAAATTTTACAACCACAGGCAAGTCATCCATTTCAGCAGAAGGCAGCATTTTTATGACGGATACTCGAACCTATTAAAATTAAAATGTAAAACTAAGAGTTTCAATTAACAACATAAAAATCAATTCTCAAGTTCCATTGTCTACATTGTTTTGATGCCTAATCATACAGTGTCTAAAATACGATGTAAATTAGTCTTACCTCTGCCAAAAGATCTGGTCGCAAGCAAAGATTAGAGAGAGCATCAAGAATAGCAACAGTAAGCCCAGAGTTCTGGGAAAGAAGATCACTGAAAAAACAAAAATCTGTAAGTATTTTTAATAAAATAAGGAATGACCTATAACAATGTCTTCTGAATACTAGTCTGTAGCTATTCAAACTTGACAGCAAAACAAAAAACCTGCTCTATCCTGATTTTTCAGTAAATTTTTATTATGATACATCTACTTTGATGGATATTGCTGCATGCATGTACTTCCAAAGTTATTGAGCCCGCTAATCAAATTCAAGGCACTGTAGACGAAATCCTATAGTGTGACTGTTTTATGAAACTCCATTTTTGTGGTAGTCCATCTCTTGTGGTTGTTTAAATGATTTTAACCTAGTTTGGCACTATTGTGAATTAGAGAGTGAATAATGTTCCTTGTACCTCAGTTCTCTAGCGACTCCGGTGTGTTCTGAATCATCTAGCACTTCTGGAATACATGTGATGATTTCACGTTGCACTTCCAGTGATGTTATGCTGACCATTTCCAACATCTTTTCTGTCAAATCCTAAACACCAAATAATGATAATAACAACAACAACAACAATAATAAAAGTTTTTTGCACAGTGTAGATTGTCTGATTGTTTTTCCAAGGTTTTTTCTTCATTGTTTTATTACTAGACTTAAAAATTATGTGTAAATGTCAATTGGATAAATAAATTTTTGATCATAAAAAGGGTATGTGTATGGTTTTTACCTCTATCTATTTTCCAGTAATTTATTACATACATGTACATGTCTCCTTCTAAAGATTTTAAAGACGACAATCTTTATTACCTTACTCTGTATAATACAATCAAGCCATCGGAACTGATTAAGTACCAAGCGAGGAACATTGAAGTCATCAGCACCACTAATGAAAACATCAATCAAAATAATATCACCATCATTGTAATGCTACATGTAGCTGTACAGTTGTTGTAAAAATCATAATTTGAAGAAATAAAGATTTTCTTTGATACATTTATCATCAATCACTTAACGAGGGCAAGGAGAGGGGAGGAGCAAGACAGGCCCTTATTTAAGAAGATGGTTGCTTCGTAGTAAGTTTGGTCATGGAAGTACAGGGCATTTCAATATTTGGGCTCAGGTGCTTATTTGAATGGGAGGACTTATGAAACACAATGTGCGGTGCATTCCAAAAACAATACCAAAGAATTCTTAAATTTTTCACACACCTTTCTTCATCACCCATAAACTCAGGGAGTTTTTCCAGCAGCATGTTTGCAATCTTAGGCTATCATAAGGTGACAATAGGAGAAATGCTCATTAATAATTAAAGATGAATTATTACGGCAGCAGAGAAAAGCTGCGCTAATCTATACACCTGCAAAACATGCCCTAATAAAATGTATAAATATATTAACTGATTTTGCCTTTAGGCAACTGTCAACAGGCAAATTTTAGTTTTTGCACAAAAGTAAAGCCCATAATTTTATCTAGAACACAGCCTTGGAAACAAAGGGTCTAGAAGTTACACAGTGTTAATCTCCATTATTATTGGATACTGTAGATTATCTTTTTCTTTAAATTTAAAGTAAAATTACCAAAAATAATTTATTGTATTTTAGTTTTTTCCAAGACGTTGGAGTGACTGAAAAAAAAAAAACATGCAGCAAGATAGCTTACCTGGAGAATATCAATGCCCAAAAGTATTCTGATTAAACTTTTCTGAATTCCTCCATATCTTGGAAGAGAATAACATACATTTGTACGTTTTTTAAAATGTTATTTACAAAGTAAGTGTTAGTAAAATGGATGAACACAAGAGATGATTTCCATAACAAGAAATAAAATTTTTAATATACCCACCCCTCATGATCTTCCGACATGGACACTGGAAGTAAACTTAAACGGAATCTGTTGAAGGTTAAAGAAGAAAAAAATTAATAAAATTGTTCTGTCAATAATACATGTAATGGGCAAGACTGACAGAAAGAAAAATCTACAGTCTCAGACAAAAATAGTTGGGATACTTCCCCTGACTTCTATTTTTTCCCTCTTTCCTATCTTCTCTTGCTCCCAATGTTGTTTATCGCAGTTCACTCACCAAATCTTGTCCACCAGCATTGGGAGGGCCAGAAGACAGTAAAGTGTCCCAACAATTTTGGCTTGAAAGCAATGGGACAAATTCTATCAAATATAATTCCCAGAATATGACCTGGGTTCCTCTCAATTTTTTTCTATTATCATTTCTGTACCTCTCAGAATTCTCTATCCTTTGCTGTAGTCCTTCAAGGAAGTCATCTATAACCTGCATACCAAAATAATAACCACATGTAACAACTGTTTAAAGCCATAGCTTAATATGTTTTGGTATATAGCTGACATTTTCATTACCTCAGGATAACTGTGATGACTTTTCAGCAAACTCTTAAGTTTCTTCTGGAATATTGAACGATCAACCTCTGAAAAAAAAATAAAACCAGAATCAGATGACTAAATTGCTGTCTCCTGCCTATTGTTACAAAATAAAGAAAAAATAATAATAGTACGTTGAAAACCATTCACAAACTGTTCTGCCTATACATGGTACAAACACTGTGTCTAAAAGCCAATCCAAATTGTTATCAACTTCTATTTCACGACAAATAAATTGTTGAAGCTTGGCTCTAAAAAAAAAAGAAGGGAATTGCTCTGGATCTGTGAAATCTGGGTGCTTGAAATATGATCTTTCCAGGTCGCCAGAGGGTAAAAGTAAGGCGCCAGGGGTCACTGATTGCTACTTGTCATTTGTAAGCAATAGCTAAAACAATACAGTTTCTACAGCCACAAATCAGTGCTCCTGACCAGATTTCAGAGAGATCTTATGTCATCGGTATAGAATTTCTGCTGTTTAGGCACAGACATTTCTCCGCCAAAACGTCCCTTGTCGCACAGAGTGAGGAGAGAGGGCTGTATTGGCAGGATTATTCTTACCTAATTCATCATGTGCCTGGCCTTCATTGAGATGAAGTCCTGCTTCTTGGACCATCTTACTAAACAAAGTAACTTCCTCTTCAGGTACTCCATTTCTTTTTTGATTATCTTGTACATGTTTTGAGCGTTTGGCTATTTTGATAAAAGATCAGAAATATCAAGTGGTAAACAATACCTTCTCCTTAGTTATCAAATTTACAGGAGTGTGTGATTCAATTATATTGAGGACACTTGTATGCAAAAATGGGAAAATGTACTATTGCATTTTGCTCCCCAACCCCCCCCTTCATTTTTTCTTTCAGCCCCTGAAGAAGTTTCGTCTTTCAAACTGAAATATTGGCAAATTTGTTTAAATTGATAAATTTTCTTGACTGAGATCCTGCACCTAACCCTGCACCACCGTACTCAACGGTTTGTCGCTGTTGATATTTCATATTTTGGAAGGCTGTCCACAGGCCACACAAAAAAATGCTTTCTTTAGTTCCTTAGAACAAACATGCAGGTACACCTGATGAGCTGTACTACATGAGACCAAGGAGTAGCTCAGTTCAATTTATACCAGCTGGCCACTCCATACAACCTCGTTTATATGATTTTCCAGGATATTTACATGCATGTCGGACCGCTTTACAAGACAACGGTTTGCAAAAGAAAACGTAGCCAGGTACTCTGCGGTTTAGCCGAAATCAAGATGCAACACGCGACTGGCATAGCTTAAGTACTTAAATTAAATAAATAAATCAATATTGAAAGAGATCATAGCTTTTCTAATGTTCATATTTTTGAGTCAACTTTACCTGAGGGCTCGGAAGAGTTGGGTTTTGAAGTTTTGCGCTTTGATCGCACCATCATTAACTCCACTTCAAAGATATCCTAACCTCTCATTTCAAACCCATCTCAGTGCAAGTAGATTTCCTGCTTTTAGAAAGCAACTAACAAGAATTTCTGCAGATTTACAGAGATCCATCTAAATCCAAGTTTCCCGCTTTTTTCCCCACTTCTTTAATTAGCGTTTTACGCATGCGCGAAAGTCCGCTGACAATGAGCTGAGAATGTAAATAGCGTCCATTTCGTTCTATCCGTACCGCGTCGTTGCAAACAGATGTGAACTACTTGCTTCAGACTTACCTCATTTGTTGATTTTCCTCATCATCTCATAAAGGATCAAAGGTGAATTTCAGTGTCCTTTACTTGTAAAGTAATGTTTAACTACCAGCTACTTACGACCTGTGAAAAAGTTCATGTTGACTTCTTTAATTAGATTATCTTTTGTTTCGAACACTGGGACTTTAAGGTAAAAAGGCTTTTTCACTGTAATCGACAACGAACAGCTGGGTGTTTTAGCTTTTTATCGCGTCTTGTAACATTTGTTTTAAGGAATCATCTTTTTAGTGTCGTGATTTAATGGCACGCGATCGTAGCATAGAAGTCACGCGCATCAGCTGAGCGGTGTCTAGTACTACTGTAAATTGTTTACCAAACTAGTCTTTTATTTAATGATAGAATGTGGAGAATAAATATCTTCCTTAAGTTTTAGACGTAATTATTCCTTGTAGGCATCAAAGTGTCAATAGCCACGATGACATCTAAACCTAACCAAAAGGAAAACAATTCGGAAACTGATCATGCTCCTGGCGATGAAGAAAAAGCAAAGAAAGAAGAACTGGTAGAGGCCAGAATGAGGATGATTAGGAAGAAAAATGAAGAACTCATGAGAAGACAAAAGGAGATTGAAGAAGATCGCAAAAATGCTGACATGTATAGTGAAATGGCAGTTAAGAAAAATCCAGCTAATTTTCCTTCAGGAGTTAACAAGGAAGTTGCAGGCACTGGATCGGGCAGAGGTAGAGGAAGAGGGTTAATGTTGAGAGAAATGAGAAAGGAGACTCTAAAAGCCAAACAGTGGGAGGCTAAAAGAAGGGAAAATATCCAGAAGGAAGAAGAAGAGAGGAAAAAGAAAGCAGAGTCTTCTAGTCCGACCTCCAGGTTTCTTGTAGATAACGATCGAGTTGATATGTCCAAGACATCAGGAAGAAATGAGCGGTCATGGGGTGGAGCCAGTTTTAATCAAGTCATTAATCGAGTGCAAAGAGAAAAGGAAGGCTTTCGGCCAGGTCGTAATAAAGGTAACATAGAGCTGACTATGTCAGGTAAAGAGAGACGAGAATATTCTCAGTGGAAAGAGGAGAGGTCAAGAATTGACGAGGAGAGGAAAGCACGTCAGAAAAAGACAGGAAATTGGAGTCGTGCTTGGGATCAAACCAAATCATGGGACTCAAGAAAGAAAATGTGGGTGAATGAGAACGACAATGATGATAGTTTTAGAAATACAAGACGGCGAGATAGTGATGATGCTGATGACTGGGGCAGTGATAACAGGAACAGAAGAAGAGATTATGGACGACAAGAATGGGAAAGAAGAGGTCCCAGGAGTAATTCTAGATTTGCACAGCATGATGATCGCGAGGTGTGGGGTGAAACAAGTGAAAAGAAAGTTGTTGCTCACATAGATAGTAGTGGAGGCAAGCCAGAGAAAGAAGAAGATTGGGGTGATACAGGTGAAAATAAAAGTGTTGAAAAGTCAAATTCTGGCGGAATGATGGCCTTCGAAGAAAACTGGGGTGACGACTCAACTGAAAATACAAAGAACATTAACCATACAGCTCCAGCAAATGGAATGCCAGTGACAGAAGAATGCGGGCAAATAAAGGAAAATAAAGTTATAAAGCACACAGATTCTGGGAGGATTCAGCTGACAGAAGAAAAATGTGATAAAATAACTAACGAGGCACTGGCTGAACCAAAGGCGCTTGGATCTACAACTGAAGAAGAAGCTGTCATGAGCTCTCATGAATCACCCACAATCAGCAATCCAAGTCTTGGTGAGAAACAGAGGGATGAATTATGCACAACTGAAAGTAAAGAAATATCTAACACACCCATGAAGGGACACACCCATCATGGTGTTGATCCTAAGCCACAACGAGAATTTGTTAAACAAAGAAGAAGACCACTGGATTCAGATGGCAGTGATCAGGTTAAAGACAGTAAAGAACTTGCTCCAGTTAAAGAATTTATACAAGACAGAATGTTATTTGATAAAAAAGATCGTAGTGAGGTAGTCACAGTCACACATGAGCATGCTGATGTTAAACACGGTGATCAGGATGAAATTTCTTCAACAAGTGAAATCACAGAAATGAAATTAAGTCACCAAGACAGGGAAGGAAATGGAGAGAAAAATCCTGTAGATGCTGAAAACAGAGATAGTGTACCAAGAAGTGTGCTTGATGATAAAAATCATGGTACTACAATTATACCAAATGTTCTTCCCACAGAAAAAGAAAAAACTGATAAAGTTGATGGAACTATAACTCACAAATCTGGTGCTGAAAAGGCTCGTCTGCCAAAAATTAACACCAAGGTTGAAAAGAAAGTGACATTTGACTCAGAAGAAAATGAAAATGTCAAAGAAACCAATGCAGAGGATTCACCATCATTAAATATTGGTGACATTCCTCCTACCCCGGACTTTTTAAAAATTGATCACAATTTAGAGTGGGGTGACATTGAAGTTGATGCTGATGCATCTGAAGTAATTGAGCCTAAATGGTGACTATTTTAGACTCGGATAACAATGCACCTGTTTTTAATACATAATATTTACTTTCTATCAGCGTTCATCTATTCCAAACAAGCAAAGAATACAAACGATAGTAGAAATAGGGAAATAAAATAAACTAAATTCTTTGTCAGTAGTAATATTTATTGTATTTTTCAACTAAACTTTTTGCCAAAAATCATAATTCCATTTTTAACAAAAAAGTAACAAAACAGTTATACATGTACATATCAATCCAGGCTTTTTCTTGTGACTCATAGTCATTAAAGTACACAAATCTCAATGTGAAGGTGTTGTTATATCTTTTGCCTCTTTTTTGGACAGGGCAGTTTCTCTGTGGGCCACTTTTCTCAGTTCCAGTATTAAGCATGAACCACCCCAAGTTAACTCCCTGTGACTCAAACTTCAGTACTGAACTTGAAGCTTGTGCTGACTTTTCTTGTTGATTTCCGCTGCACTTCCTTCTACAGCGGCAGTTACTGTACTTGACGCTCTGTTATTCAAACCCCTTCTGACTCAGACAAACAGGGCTCAAACTTTTTTGACTAAGACAAAGGATGAGACCAAAGTATCCCCCATTACCATTGATAGCAAGAAGTACATGTCATAAAAAAAGGCTGATTGTATGACGCTTGTGGGCATCTTTGTGTCCATGGAAACTGTCTGTATAGAGAGGTGCCCATAACAAGGAGCTATTGTAAGTGATTGCATAAAGTTTGGTGTGTTTGGGACCATGGTAACTGTCTGTAATAGAGATGTGTGCAGTGTTTGTAAAGAAGGGCTCCACTGTGAATTTGCTTTCCTTCATGGCCAACTTGTTCAAAGCTGTATTAAGATAACCCTGGGTTAGTGCAAAATTTAAATTCAGATTTGAAATCTTAAAAAGGCAAATTCAGTTTACTTCTTTTAGTCCTAAAAAATTGATGATTGGATGCTCAAAAAAGAATGAGAAAATTTTGTGAGAAAATGCTTTTTGAACGAAAGTAAAAGAAACCTGAACTAAGATTTAACCCCAGATTAGTGCTAATCGGCCTTTGAACAACTGGGCGCAGGGGATTTTTTTTTATAATTTTACCCTTTAGAACTTGAACTCCTTTGAGGAAGTGTAAATAACATCATTATTATTTTAGACATAACTGAACATATTTCCTTGTGTTAAAAATAATTGTCAGTAAGTTAGCTTCTCGTAACAAAGATCTTTCTTGGAAAACAGAAAAACCATGAGAAAAGCTAAGAAAGGGAATTTTTAAGACTTCTTTGAGATGCCAAAGTACTAAAAAAAAATCAAGAAGTTCAAATCCAATAAATGTCTCCTGGTTACCAATAATAATTAGGTCACTGTGTGGCCAATTCTTTCTTGACACACACCTCGGTAAGAAGAACACAGCCCAATCAGCAAAACTAAAATACAGCAAGTTTATCAGATGTGCACTTTCTGAGGGTTTTGTTTTCTCACAGATGGATTAAAAAAAAACAAGAATACAATTCTCCAAAGATGGTGATTAATTTTTATTGACAACATCAGTGCAATTCACAGCCATAATCTTCCATTTTTCTTTAGTTGTGCATTCAGGGCAAAACTCATGCGTATATAGAGTAACTCAATGTGTGTTGTGCTAGGCTTTCAAAATCCACTTCATAATCCATGAATTACAAGGCTCCAGCCTCCTGTAACATTGGCTTAAGCTTTCCACTGTCTTGCAGACCTTTGACAGCATCTCCTCCTCCAACAAACTTGCCACCGATGAACACCCTTGGAACCTGAGAAATGTAGTGTCATCGTTCATGTTAGCTTGCAAGCAAGCTCTCCTATTTGGGCGAGCGAAGCAAGCCAAGCAAGAATGCACGAGCGAGAGAAGCCCCTTGCGCGTCTACTTTTTTAAGATATCCCCAAATGGAGAGCTTACTCGCAGGCAACGTTCGCCTTTGGCATGATACTTCTTCCAACAAATGGTTCATAAAAATTAAATAAATAATAAATGATGATTTAAAGGTAGCATATCCACTTAGTGGTTCTTTGTTTACCTAAATGATGGTCAAATTGGAATTTGAGAAAGTCTGGTTTTTATTTGAGGAGAGGAGAAAACCGGAGTACCTGGGGAAAAAACTCTCAGAGCAAAGGAGAGAACCAGCAACGCACTCAACCCACATGTGGCATGAACACCAGGATTTGAAGCCGGCCATATTGGTGGGAGGCGAATGCTCTCACCACTGCGCCACCCTTGCCCTATTACCTTTATTACAATTTATATTTTATTTTCCTTTTTGATTATTCATCAAAACTTACTATGAACTAAATCAGGGATTTCGTAGGTTAAACTTATATAACATCTGGGTTTCCTAGCATGCGAAAACATCTGTTTCTCCTCGCTCTTCGCCGCTGGGGACGTTTCGCATGGAGGAACATCTACATCTCAGCAGCAGAAATTCCATACTGATGACGTAAATCAATGTGTACATAATAAATCCGGTAGTCATGGGGTTCCAAATGTGAATTTGTTCAATTTTACGTTTCTCCTGGTCTATTTTGGTAAAGTGTTGTGTTCATCTGACAACGAGCTCCAGCAAAAATCAAATGCTTCTTATAGAGAATACTATATTCCAGGAATATTGACTGTTTTGTTAGAGATTCTTCGCGTATACATTTGACCTTTGAGGCCTTTTGTCTTTTGTCTGTCATTCATAAACTATAGCTAAAACAATGTAACTACTCCGTCGACCAATCAGCACTCCTTTGCTTATTCCGGACAGATTTTACGTCATCAGTATGGAATTTATGCCGCTGAGTCACAGACGTTCCTACGCGCGAAACGTCCCCAGCGGCGAAAATTGAGGAGAAACGGATGTTTCTGCAGGCTAGGGTTTCCATGATAAAAAAAAATATCCTCCTTACTATATAGCTGGAATTTTTACCTTACTGCGCAAGCCTCCTTATCACGTGGTTGCACTGGCACTTTCACAAAAAAGTTAATTTTCGATATCCGAAGAAATATGCGTCATTATTTTGTGATAGAGCTTGTAATTTATATAAAAAAAGCTTCATTTGCTTAAGGAATTACTTCGAAAACAATAGCTCGAAAATAATAAAAAGCCCTAGAAACATTTTTAGTATGCACGTGGAACACGTCTATTAATTACAGAGATTAACATGAATAACTACACCAAAATGCTTAGAGGCACCAGTTAAATAAACCGAAATTAAGCAAGGTTACTTATTTGAGTACAAGAAAAAGTGTTAATACATAAATACCGAAAAGCGAACCGCATTATCTCTAGCTGTTAAAAAAACTTCAGCCTACCGTTCTACCCCCAGTAATTTCTTTGAGGGCGTCCTGATATGCATCTCCGTTTTCGATTTCATCCAACTCGATTACAAGATAATCTTTCAATCCTGCAGCATCCAGAGCACCCTTGGCCATCGTGCAAAAGGGACAGTAGGTTTTAGAGTAGACTACTACCTTGTTATCCTTGATTTTAACGTTGATTTCGTTGACTTTGGACATTTTGCCGGTTAGGAGTCTCCGTCTTGATCGTCTCGACAGACGTCTTTAGTGTACGAGCCCGCGTTTCACCGGCCTGCGGCCCCATTATAAAATAATGAAAGAATGAAAGAAGTAAACGGGAAGAAATAAATGGGAAAGAAGGAAGTCAGCGCCAAGCTAAATACAAAGCTTATGGTGAATTCTTTTTGTTTCCAGACCCTGTTTACTGAAGGCGCATTCTTCCTATCAATTTTCTGGCTGACACTGCAAGGAGACACAGAAAAACCAATGAACCGCTACTGTCAACATTACCACAAAATGGGGATGTCTGTGGCCTGTGCCTGGCTCTCGGTCAGTGCAGACGAGCGAAAAAAGGGGGCAATCCTCACGCGGTTATCGCGCCACTTCCCCACTATCTTAAGGTGATTCCCTAGTTTTGCACTGCGCATCTCTTACTGCGCATAACAAGATGGCCGCCGTAAAAAAGAGCATGTGCAGTAATATTATTAAAATGAAGTTGACTGAAGAGAAACGCTATTGGAATTTTTGCTTGCGGTTGTTTCTTGCCGAGGTGAGACTCAATGTGTTGGGAATGTGCATAACGTAAGCAGTACGCGTGTTGCTGAGTTCGGCCTCCTCTCGGAGAACCTCGATAGTGGATGTTTAACTTGTGCTTACTCACTTTGATTCTCATTTAAACACTTTCTTTATCACATTGTGTCCTAAATGTGATATCTCGATGTAAATTCTGTAAAAACGGATTTTTTAATACTTTCTTCCCCCTTTCACATACATTCTATTTTGAAACTCGCCCCAGTCCTCTCTCAAAAATCGGAGAAAATGCGTTTGGTGCGCACTTTCTGCAGCTCTACCGCAAAAACGAGTACGGTGACTCCCATTTTTTATTTCATGATTTTAATAAGGACAGTGCTTCCTTTCGATGAGAAAAAAATTGGCACAAATCTATGTTCAGTTTTTTGGCAATTTTACTAAATTGTACGGATTGAGCCATCACGGGTCGAAAAGCGCGCGTCCAATTTAATTCTACTTTGGAGCGTAAAGTAAAAACAAGGGCATTAAAAGGCATTTTTCTGGTACGTAAGTGGATAAACAATATATTAAAGTCAAATTCTGTGTGATGTCACATGCATCATCGAAAAAATCTCTCCTTTTTGTCTAGTTTTGCGCTGCCCGCGGTTTTTGTAAAAGGGTCCTAAATAGCCGTATTTGTCAGCATTGTGACGTCAAAACGAGCACGGTGACCCCCACTTTTTATTACTTTTTTATCATCTTCTTGACTTGTTACATCAGTGTACCAAGTTTTAGCTAAAATCTATGTTAGGTTCTTTTACTATGGAATCACCTTAAGGGCATAGAGCTCCCCGAACACTCACAGATTCGTTCGTTTCTTTTCCCTAGTTATATCGCGTCAAAACGCAATGCCCCTCACCTCCTATGAAGAATTAGGTACACAACACAGAGCTCGTGAAAACAACACTGTATTAACTGATCATTTTACAAGGCTAAATAGCGATACATGAGTAAATAAAGTCATTAAATTTTCTTGAGGTTTATGATATTTGTCCATGATTTACAAAGCTCCCGCAGACTGCAACAATGGTTTAAGCTTTCCAGTGTCTTGCAGTTTCTTGACATCATCTCCTCCTCCGACAAACTTGCCTCCAATGAACACCCTTGGAACCTTGAAATCAAACGTAACATACATAAGCTAAGTAACACCTGTTCACCAGTCCAGTGGGTAGTAGAGCCGGGTGTAAGCCGATCGCGGGAAAAGAGTCACATACCATCGCGTGACAGTATGGTGCATTCCACGGGCGACAATGAACGACGTAATTTTAATACTCTTTGGCGGCGAAGCAGCGGATGTGAAAAGAGGGTATCAGTGGTGTGATCTATTACTGATTAGGAAGTCTACCCCTCCTCCCCCGAAAACTAAGAGAGAGTCAACTCATTTTATCTTTTTGAAACTTAGGACACTTTTTGGCTTTCCGATCCCCTGAACATGAGATCGTCGAATGAAACGGATAATCTTAAAGCCTTCTCATCGCCCATCGTTATAATTATATTAAAAACGCACGTGCTTTAACTCGGAACAAAGCAATTATAGAAAGAAAGTATTTGGAACATCATAGTCTAAATTCGAAAATAAAAATAATAAAAATTTTAACGGAAGCCCTAACGTGGTTCATACCGATCTGCCTCCTGTAATCTTCAACAAGGCATCTTGAATCGCATCGCCATCATCTCGTTGATCTAACTCCAACAGAACGTATTCTTTCAAGCCAGCGTCGGCAAGCGCCTCCTTAGCCTTCTTGCAATAAGGGCAGTAGGACTTGGAGAACACGCACACTTTGTTTCCACTCACTTGAAGGTTCACGAACTCCGTTTTTCCTGCCATCTTCAACGAATTTTGGGCACTGAAGGTTTAAGTTTTTCAGTTTTAATAAGGATACTGCGAGTGAAGGCGTTTTTATACGTTTGTCCGCTCTCAAGTGCTTAATGCGACGTGACCAATCACGAAACTGCTGTGTCATGACGTCTTGCTGCGTCATGTACAAGTTCACTTAATATTCAAGTCACGCAAACACATTGCGGCGAGCGCGCGAACAGCGTAAAAAATTTTGAAACTCCAGCCGTCGTAACCACATGATGTGAATTAATAAACCTTTATTTTACTCTGACTCAGGGTGTTTTAATTTCAATCTTTTTTGTCTCTTCTCTGGCTTCCGCAAAAAAAAACCCGATCATCGTGAAAAATATGCTCTGTCATGTTTTGTCTTAATGACGATTATCACTTGGCCACTTCTTTAAAGTCACGCGATCACGCGAACATTCGATGTTATCTCAGAAGAAAGTCACGCCATCATGCAAACTTTGCATTATGTGGGCAAACAGAAAATACTTTGTCATGTTTCTCTAAACACTTATCAATTAAAACAGGTGATGAAGGTGTTTTCAAGTGTTTCTGTTGCGTCCTATGACGGAAACTTCTCCAAAGCCGTAGCACATATTCTACTACATTTCAGCCGTACACGATATGATAAATGTATTTGATTTACATATAGGTCATTTCCCTTTGAGTGGCCATGTTCCTTGAGAATATATTTGAGAGATTTAACTCCCATCAAAGTTTCCATCCTGTCTTCGTCTTGAAGGTTGCTGAAATGAAAACACAGAACAAGCCTTTACCCCAGTCGTGTTCTAATATACAATGGAAATTTTTACTGTCACAGATAGACTGATGCAAAATTGCCTTTTAATAGAACTTCAAAGTTTTGAAAAACTAGGCCAGTGAAATCTATGATTTATGAGGGTTCACTAGTTTTCAAAGAAATGTATACTTATGCGAGGAAGGCAGTGGGGCGGAGGGCAAGCCATCTGGCATACAATTTTTCTCATCTGGAAATTTCGGGCTTCAGTATTTCCAGAGTTTGAAACTTGACAATTTAATAACACTAGATTGGTAAATCAATCTATATAGACTTCGTTTCAATGAAAAGCAATCTCAGTTGCACTGATTTTCCGTGATAAAGGGTAAAATGGTGTATTGCATGGTTCGTTCCCCTTCACTGCTCCTTTTCAAAAGCGTTGTCAAAGAAGCACGTATGTTTGAATATGAAAGTATCAAGCTAGCGGAGAGTGAAATTTCGTGGCACGCAAAGAGAAAAGTATACCACAGAGGGTCATAATACAAAAAAAAGCATGTCGAGGACGTCAAGTACGCTCTCTAACCAATTCCCGTGCCAGTTTTTCATGCTCAGCATGACGCGTGTTTTTTTTTTGTTTTGTTTTTTTCATTTTCCTTTTTGCTGCCCCCCGGTATCTTAACTCATTCGCCCATGGATATTTTGCCAAAGAAACGCTCTTCGAAACTGGTAGAGCCGTTTTCTGTTCGGTATCATGCCAAAAAGAAGCAAAACTTCCCAATTACCGTAAAATCATAATCTACGCTAGCATCTCCCTTAAAAACTAGGGGGTTCCCTACCAGATTCCCTGGGAAACGCACTGGGGGCAAGATTAGATTGATGCTGCATGCTTTTTGTTCCAGGTGCCAATTATTAATCCAACAGCTTTTTGAGTTCGGAACAAGGCTACGTGATGGGAATGACTGTTTGGACAAAACAGTGACACTGTAGCTCAGCCCTCTGGCTTTTTCAGCCTCCTGATGTGTTATATTTCGAAGAAGTTTTCATAGGTAGTGGAACAAGATAATCATAGGTAAATGTTTTTTTTGCATTTTCCTATCGCTTGTTTAGCTGATTTATTAGGGTTAAGGCAAGGGTTGGGAGAGCTCCCCTCCCCCCTTCCTATTTAACTAGTTAGACATCATTAGACATCAAAGTTAGTCTACGCCCATTGGTGATGTCACAAGTGGTACAACTGATGTGGTGGCACTTGCACAGTACAGGCCAGTATTGAGGTGTGAATGTTCTTTTTTCTGTTGGGAGCGAGACAAACCCTCACTTCCGGGGTTCTTTAATAACTAAACAGGCTAATTAAACCATGTAATAGTCTAAAAGGAGAATATTAATGCATTAAAATTCATGGGAAATTATTTAAAGGGTTGACTTTCAAGCTTAGGTCTGGCAGTCTGGACAGCACAGAAAGAAAGTGTGACCAAAGATTAGTATTTTAATCTGTCTTGCTTAAATACTTATTGCAGTTGCCACTGGAGTGTACAGTGTGTAAATATTATTATTTTGTTGTCTATATTAAAATACTGCTCCCAATAAATAATATATAGTTTATCAGATATGTATACAACAAGTATGTTTTGCACCACCATATATATTCAGCCTAAAGTACCTGTAATAATATTTTATTCCTGTGTCACCTATCACTGTGCTCTTGGGTTCCGATAATATTGATAAATTGATAATATTATTAATAATATCCAATAACATTGATACTATAAAAATTAATGACAGTAATTAATATTTACATTTTTATGAATTAGCTGTATTTAATAAAAATAAATAAATAATAATAACCTAAATTTTGTCGATAAAATCTTACCATACTTGGAATACCAGCACTTTCCTGCTCAAATCTGCTTAAAGTTAGCCCACAAGAAAAGACACCTCTTTTGACTTAAAATTTGCACGTCAAAGCAAAGGCTGAAAAAGGCATCTGCTTTCACAGGCTACTTTAAATGATGACTGAGAATATTAAATATAGCTATGAAAGTTATTGGCTCTTATTGCCTAGTTTCTTCCTTTAAAAAAGAAAACCATTGACCTTTCCCCTACTTTACCATTCTTGATTTTATCAATTCTGAGACTTTTGCACAGTTTGAAAGGAGTTCAAATCACCAAGCAAAACATTATCAGCAAAAATAAGCTGCAAAACTAGACGTAAAACTAATAAAGCTCATTAAAAAATAAGATTATTACTGACAGTTTTATCAACTTGCCTTCTTAGATTTAAGTACTATCTTTTCCTGTGTGGATGTTTTATTAAATTAAAGGTTGGTTTCAAAGGGCCTCTTCACATGAGACTGGTTGACCAGGCTGGCTCGGTTTCAGAGATCTTGCCTTTCCGCTAAATCCTTTGTAAAATTTTTGATGTGCTCATATGAGAGGGTGAGCCTGCTTGGTTCCTGAGATCTCAGTTTTCAGACCGGAATCTTGGTGAGCGGGCTGAAGATTTTGCCATATGAACACTTCAGCCTGGTTACCGGGATGAATTCTGGTAGCCCAGATGGCATCATCTTGCATTGCTTGCTGTATGTGTTTTCCACATCATAAGCATCCCATTTAACTGCAGCAATACAGCTTTATGGGTTGCCTAAGCTATGGTAGGCTCAAAAGATAAAATCTTTGTGTTTTGTCATGCTTGCTTTGTTTCTCAAAGTTCCCACCACAACTCGTCCCCACGATCTTTGGCCTTTTTTTGTCTCGGAAACCAGGCTGAAATTTCTATTGGTCCTAGTAACCGGGCCAGCCCGTTTAACCGCGCTCATGTGAAGAGGCCCTAATAAATATGATCGCCATGACTCAAGTGCAGAAACAACTCCAGTAGTTTGAGCTACCATAGCAATTATAGAGAAACCAGCCCTGAAATAGAACTGAAGTCTTTACTCTGTTTACTCCTAGTTTTGTTGCTTATGTATAAAAATATAAACTATTACTTGAAATGTTTTCGCGCATTTGCGGCTAGGTTATTCAGGTAGGGCGGTTACGTGACTGCAACAGTCAATAAAACATTCTTTAAGCTTGATGTAACAACAATTTTAGGTCAACGGCAGACTTCCTTTTAAAGATACAAGAAAAATTAACAGAACGACATCAAAACGTGGCGATGCATGCATCGGTACATGGTCGTATGGGCCGGCATGGGGAAGAGACTGAAGTTGTAAAAATAAGGATTAAAATATCTACAAGCTAAGCATCTAATATTTAGGTCTTAACTATAAAAACTATACGGGCATAAAATTTCTTGAACGAGGAAAGTCAGACATACTTTTCACTCGCCTTGGCTCGGGCACACTTTGAAGTTCGATATCTTCAACAGGATAAACCCTTCCTGATGTGTGATTTGATATCGCTCTGAGCTGCGATAGACTCCTTGTCATCCATCGGAGGGTTGATTCCGTTTCTTCGCTTTTAGTCGGGCGTTCTAGAAGGTTTTTCTCAATTATACATCGCATAACTTGCGGCAGTTCGCTTGTGTCACGCGGTATTCCTTCCACAACGTTCCGAAACTCTGAAATTATGCTCCCGCTGTCTTCGGGTCGTACTTTCGAAGCTAACTGTTCTAAAGCAAGGCGTTCGATTTGTGGAATTTCAAAGGATTTTGAAGGTGTACTAATGAGCCAAGAGTAGTCCGCTATGTTTGACAATCTCCTTTTTTCCCGTTCAACATCACGATTGATCCTCTCAACATCCTTGATTTGCGATTCAAGCTCCATCATCAACGCTTCGCATACAACATCACTTTCCGCTTTCACTGGCAGTGAATCTTTGGCTTTCAGTTTAAGCCCAAGGCTAGTTAAGGACAGCATCAATTTAAGCTTTCTTCAGGAGCAAAAAATCCAGAGATCGCCCTCCGATCTCCAAGATGAGTATCTATTTCAGCTGTTTATTTTTTGTGTCAAGTGCCAGTGAGCAATTCACTTATTTATTCGACGTAGTCAAAAACACCTGATTGCGTGCGTTAATTGGCTCGTTCAATAATTAGATCCCAGTCTCTAAATAGAATAAAACGCACGCGTTTAAAACGTCGTTTTGCGGTTCTCGCCCCAGTTGTTCAAGTGATTTATCCGGTAGATGCAAAAGGTATATTTGATACTGTAAAAGTGTTAAGTTCCTTTATTGAAATAAAAATTTTTTCAGTTCAAAAATTTATTCTGTAACAAAGACGTTGAAGGCTTGTACTTCAATCTCTCCCATTAGCGTTTCCTTGATTCATTCGAAAATAAGAAGGGTTTTCTCTCCTCTATTAATTTCCTGCAGACAGTTGTGGAACGAATTTGCTCTTATGACAGGCTACAAGCTGTTCTAGATTTATATTATAAAATAATGGGAAAATTGAATAACTTGTTAATGTGCAAAAATGATTTAAAGGCTCAATCAAGGTGTCCAACAATCATGGTTTCATTATTCCCATTTTCTATTCAGTATGCGGCAATCTTTCAAAGAGACAATACGAGCTATAAATCGTGCGGCTCAGTGTCTAAATAAAGATGATATCGGCGATTATAGTACTTTAACAACCCTTTTTCTTTGCGAATGCTTGCGAATACTCTCAGTAATCTGCTGTATACTTGTATCATCTTCGAGACCTAAAAGGCAAATGAAATACAAAATAAAACATAAAACAAAACAAAAACTTTGCTTACGATATATTCCAATCTGTGTCTGGTATCGTGAGCCTTTGACCGGCCAGCTTACTTTGGGGCTCATAGCAAAGGAAATGTGGTAATCTACCCATCTCAGAAAATTTATTTGGTAATCACGTGACCGTACACCGAGCGAGCGAGCGCCACAGGCATGCCAATGTAAAAAATAACTCAATCAACAGGTGTGGCAAACCAAATAAAATTCAAGGTTTTATTTGGAAAGAAATCACATGGGCGCCAGGACTTTTAGAAAGAAAAAACAACAACAAAGTCGTGTCTTTTTCGGCGTTATTTTTTAACAGAGAAAGAGCCAGAGCGAGTCATTGAAAATAAAGGAGACGATTTTCGTAGGAAGAAAAACATAGAAATGCTAGCGCCCATGCAGCAAGGAGCGGCCAGCAAGGTGAAAATGAGCGGCAGTGAAAAATAAAAGGGAACATGAATACAGGAAACAAAATATTGGGTAAGTTCATACGACAATTCCTCCCTAAAAATAATGTGTAACTAGGAAGTTTGACGTTTTATTCGTACAAAACAGCGTTGTAGTCGTACAAAACAACGGCAAGGGAAAGAGCGTGCTGTAAGTGCAAAGTTGTTTTTTGCTAATTATAGAAGAAAAAGTGTGCTGCACGTGCAATTTGTTTTTTGCTAATTAGATCCGTTAGTCTTGAAGCCATTTTCGCCGTCGTCCCTGTTTAGCATTACACGATTTAAATTTTTTTTGTTTATAAGTATTATTAACCAGAGCTTCGCTTTTAGCCCTAGCTAAATCCATATATTATTTCTCACTGGGCCTCAAGAAAGAACTAACTCAGAATCGAACCAAAAAAGTCAGTAAAGAATTAATGCACACTTCTCTCCCCATCGCTCACCTTCAAAGAGCTCGGACGCATCAAAAGAAAGTTTTCTTTTTGCTGCCAGCTGGTTCCGCTTGAAAGAAGTCTTGGAACCCTGAAAAACGCACAAAAAATCCGTCAGGTTATAAAAGTGTTCTATAGTTTTGGTTACAATATCTCTTTCAGAAGGGGTTGGAAAATGGTTCTGTCTTGCTCTCTGATAGTCTTATCATTGTAATATTGTTGTCAGTCTTCAGCCCGTTCTCTATTAAAATGTCAATAATTTTTTTTTTTTTTAATTCGTTTACCTATATACGTAGATTTTTTGTTCATTTTATTCATTCATCTATCTATTTTTCACGTAACCATTAGTTCCTGAGATATCCGACGTGAACGTTACATTGCAATTTAAGTCTCGGCATATTTTCGCGCAGTAGAGAAAGAGAAAGGGGCCCACTATTTTGGCCCCTAATACTCGTTCTCCTTCTGTGTCCCTACTCCACCCCTGAAATTGAATTACCTTATAACGGAGGCTACTGGACGGAGACCAAAGTAAATTTGTATAGGTAATAGCACGATTAGTAGTGATATTTGGCATAAATACCACGAGTGATATTTCAAAATTGTTATACGTAATTTCACGAGCCGTTAGGAGAGTGAAATTTGAGACAATTTTGAAATGTCACGAGTGGTATTTATATTATGCCAAATATCACGTACAAATGATGCTATTATTTGTTTATACTACTACCCACAAAAGGTTGTAATTTTCACATGTAGGTATTTCAAATTAAGCTGAAATACCACTGCTCTAAGCCAATCAAATTGCAGAAATTTCTCATGTAGTAGTATAAGCGACAAAAGAAGACAGCGGATTATCAAAAATACAACCAAATGGTTACCTGGAAAACACTCTGTGCAATTTTAGATCTTGGGATGCCATTTTCTACTGCGGCTATGACTGGACGGTTTGGTGTGGTGGGGACAAGACTGTAGCCATCAGTGTTATCCTTTGCCTCCTTGTAATGTTTTGAGGCGGGGCTTATCTTTCCATGCAGACTGGAAGTACGTTTCTTGACTGAAGGTAAGTAGCTATTGATTTTAGATTTGCTCCGTTTTTGGTTTTTAAGGTCATTCGAATCTGCAATGCTCACGGTCGTTTTATCTTCAACTGCATTCTTCAAGGACTTGATGGTCTTTGACCTCGTTCTGTGAGTGTTTGCTACGCTTTGGGAGGCTGTCTTTAGGGATACGGGTTTGGACTTCTGGATCTCACAAATTTCATCCTCCGGTGACGAGGTTAAGTCAAAGACGAATATGTCAAAAGGATCTTCCTTTCGAGGGCCCTTAGCACAAGGTCTGCTTGCTGTAAGGAAAAAAAGTATTAGTTATGATAGATGTACGCTACCACGTCAAAGCAATTAAAGAAAGTAGTGTGAAACTGAATGGGTCCCTCCAGGGACACATTGCCATTAGTCACGTATCACTATGATCTCTGACAACTAGTGGTTTTAGTTTTGTAAGCCGAGAACACCACTTGAGACTGTAGAGTCATAAAGCCATAAGTATAATAAGAAGAAAATAAGAACTGCATTCACACTGCACAGGACGAATTGTCGACGGCCTGAAAATTTGACCGGGCACTTTGTTCATACGGGACCGTTATCTGAATATTTTGGCTCTGTTTACAAGGAATTTTGAGTGGCTAAGCGTCTAAATTTTCTTACGGTTAGGTGGTTCGGTGTGAACGCGAACGCACGAACTGTCAATCGGTCAAAAATTTGTCCTGTGACATGTGACGTAGCCCCTAAGAGCTCGTACCTTTCATTTTTTCTGATTCAAGTTCCCTCTTGACGCGAATCTGCGGGTGAACAGCAGCTATGGGGGATTGCTTTGGCCAGGCAGCGTTTGTCAAGGTAGGTACACGAACACTTGGAGAGGTGAAGGGTCTGATTACATTCTCCTCGGGGTATTTCGCAGACACAGGGACAGCTTCCAACTCTGATGGTAACGCCGCCTGATCAACTGAAGATAAATCCGGAGTACCATAAACTTTCACCTATTCACCTATAAGCCCCCCACTTATAAGCCCCGCTCCAGTTATAAGTCCATCTACCCCGAAAGAAGAAAATACCTCCAGTTATAAGCCCACCCAGACCCTTGGACAAGCCCCCTTGTTTATAAGCCCTCCTAAAGCCCTTTCAGTACAAAGTTACATAAGCCAAGGGCTTATGAGCGGAAGTTTACCGTCCTCCGACAGTTGATTTCATACTCTTTATGCCTTTCCATTTAATGAGGGTAGCACTTTACAGTAGAATACTGACAAACCTAAGGCCCTCCCATTTCATTCCGCATACCTTGTTGCAAGACGTGACGCTCCGCTACGTTAGAGCTCTGATGCAGATGAGAAGACTGCTGAATATCGTGTGAAACAGGACGCATAGGAGCAATCGCCGCAGTGGGATGAACATTCGGCTGATGTTGATTGCCTGAAGCTATGCCTGTTTGGTACTGGATATTCACGCTAGGAACAACTGCGTCCGCTTCAGACGCGTGAGGTAGTGATGGTTGTGGGTGATACTGACAGTCTAGGGACGGTATTAACTGTCTGTTGGTAGAGCCTTGTAGTTGATGGTTGAAAGGTATTGATGCTGCAATGTTTTGGATTGATGGCTGAGGCACTGGTTGGGTCTCTGGAGCCATGTGATGCAATCTCACGTTGGGTACCTGTCAATTTGTATGATCAGATCAAGCAGAAGTTTTCAGTGGGCTCTAAAACCTATAACCATATTAATGCAGTCATTTTGATTTGTTCGCCAACTCCTTTTTTTCTTTTTCATTCCAACCAGACAAGGGCTTTAATTCGCTCCATGTGAGAAAATCCGAATTCCGGAATCCTGAACTTTTATTGCGCGTGGAATCCATAAAGGTACGGAAAAAAGGGGAACAAAAAACGAGTAACTTGCTTTGCAACATTGCTGCAAAAGGAGTTGAATTGCGATGTTGCGCGTTTTACCACCCACGTTCAAACCTGTTAAAAACTGAACCTGATTTGTTGCAAGACAGAATTTTATGTTGGTGGTAAAACGGGAAACATCGCTAAACAACAAGTTTTGCAGCAATGTTGCAAGACAAGTTGCACGTTTCTTGTTTCCCGTTTTTTCCGAACCTTAAAGCTCAAGGAATCCGGAATCCCGCTAACGATTGGAATCTAGAATCAAAGTTCCATGGAGAAGAAAACCGGTATCCTGTACCTGGAATCCGGAATCCACAGCATGCAACTCAGAATCAAAGACTATTTTGGATTACCTTTAATACATACATGGATGGGGCGAAGGATATTAAGTTGATAAAGAGTCTATATACGAACTTTCTTTTCAACTGCCCTACAAGCGTTAGCGCCGTCGCGACGGTGGCGGGCGTTCGAGAGAAGGGGAAGGGAATTCACGCAAGCTATTCAAGTGCTTATGGAGTAGGGGTAGTTAGGTTCAACATTGGTGTTCCATCATCTCAGTGGAGTAATGGTAGAGGGTCATTTTACGCCGTTTTGATGGATTCTCTTTGGATTCCCTCGAAATAAATGGATTCCTTTCATTATAATGATCAATAGTAGTAAGATTTCAATTCATCGTTTTATTGCGCTTCTTTTCATTACATATGCAGGATTTCCTCGCGAAAAAGTGGATTCCTCAAGTGCCTTCCTCCACATCTAATGAGCATGTCTCTACTACAATAGTAACATGCGATCAGGCGAATTTTTTGTTTTTTTAAGCGATTTTTTTTTTGGCGGGGGCAAAAAAAAATACGGCGTATTTTTTTAAAAGTGCAAACATTAACCACAAGGGACTGCAATACAAAGGACCGCAAACGAATATGCCGAAGACCGTTGAGTTCTTTCGGTGTCGTGTTGATGTCTTGCAGAGTTAATTTTCACGTAGTACGATCAGCATTGCAGTATTCTGCTTGCAGAATTTACACTAATATGTCTGTATTTTTTCCCCTAGCCAAAAAAAAAATCGCCTGATCGCTGGTTACTACAATAGGAACAATAGGCTTACCCAGGCTTGCCCGCTCTATACCCACCCTGATTGGCTCATGTAGTACAACTGTATCTATCATGTGTTCAAAATAAAAGCGGATAGGCTCCTGAGCGGGTAGATTTCAAAAGCGCTATCTTTGTTGCAATTGCTTGGCTAAGTATTAAACAATAAAAATGCAAGCAATGCAAATTTTAGCTTTGAGGATGTTCTTCAGTGGTTACAGTATGATAAGTTACCTAAGGGGACATTTTATTGGAATGTTAAGTCAGGTATCACGATTATTCACCTATTTTCACAATTAATTATCTCGAGGGTTTCATGCTAATGAGGCTGTCTCAACCAATCAGATTAGACTTACGTCAGCATTAGTTTACACTAAGCAGATGGTTTTCTGGCTGCTATAAAAAAGGTGTAACACTAATTTACCAGAGAGAGAATTGTAACTCACAGGCAGCAAGGTCAGCAAGTGAATAAAAGTTCTGAGTCAAAGAAGTTCTATTGGTTTTGTAGAAAGGCTTTTGCTATTCCGCGTCAGAAAAGTCTTTTCAAAAACATTTCCTTTTTAATTTTCATTTCTATTAGACGTACAAATATGACAAAAATCCTCAAGCTATTTACCCACACACATGTCTAATGTCTAACATCGTCTTTAACAATTTACAATACACTGATGTTGTTTAACTTCTTTTAAAGCAGCATCTACCGCCTTTTGAGCCACAAACTGTCGTCTGTCCTCATCGGGCATGTGCAAAAAATCTTATCGTTCAGTTTGCTATTATGCCATTTATTTTCTCTCCTTTCCCGTTCCCGCTGTCTCTCCTTTCTTCTTTCCTTTTGCAGCCTTTTTTTGTCTTCTTCTTCCCCTCGAAGATAAATCTTCTCAGCCTCCTGTCTCTGTTCTTTTTTGGACAGTTCCTTCTTCCGCGGCAAATGCGCAAAACTCGGACTCACACGGAACGAATGAGAACGGCGACGGTATTCCAGAGCATTATCCACTGCTCTCTCAACGACAAAACGCCGCTTTTCTTCCTCGGTTAACTGTAAAAACTTTGCTAATTCTTGGGCTTTCTTTTCACGCTTGAACTGTCTCTCAGCCTCAAACGTCCTCCGCCACTCACTTGTCTCCCGACTGGTCACTTCATCTTCATCCTTACGATCATTAGGAGCAAAATAACCCCTCTCCCAAGAAGACCAGCCCCAACAACCATCAACATGATCATTCCAACCCATCGCAAACAGTGAACAACCGCTTCTCAATCGATAACACTGCGAAGGATTTGTGTAAATATTCTCGTTCAATGCACTATTTATTTAATTGGCTGAAAAAAACCCACAAAAAATCACATGTCACTCAAAAAAATACATCCCTGAGGCACTATTGTTGGCTTTCACTCGACGTCACTAAAATTCAAACTTCCTTTCCTACTAAAATTTTACTTTCACGATGTATTAGAGCAGCTGAAAACTAATTTTCATACAAATTTTAGCTTCAAAAGGGTTCTTGGTTTTGTGATAGAGTACGCTTGAATTTCTAAGCTTTTGCGTGACGCGGCATTTACATGACGGCCAAGAGAGTTAATGTCATGTAGATTAAAAAAAATGACTTATTTCAGGGAATTTTGCTATCTAAACAGTTTATGTATTAGAAAAGTCTGTCCAATTGCGATATGATAGTGTCTTGTTGTGTTTACGTTTTCGATAAAAATAACTTTCGTCAAAACTGGATTCTCTTAATCTTTTTTCAGTGCCAGGATGTTGTCGCAGCGTAATTTTATGCAGCCAAGGTTTTGGCGCCTTTTTTTGAAAAACAACAACATCTTTTTGAGTAAATCGAAAGTACACGTGGAGACAATAGTGCCTCAGGGATGTATTTTTCTTTTGAGTGACATGTGGTTTTTTGTGGGTTTTTTTCCGCCAAAAATTTAAATAAATAGTGCATTGAACGAGAATATTTACACAAATCCTTCGCAGTGTTATCGATTGAGAAGCGGTTGTTCACTGTTTGCGATGGGTTGGAATGATCATGTTGATGGTTGTTGGGGCTGGTCTTCTTGGGAGAGGGGTTATTTTGATCCTAATGATCGTGAGGATGAAGATGAAGTGACCAGTCGGGAGACAAGTGAGTGGCGGAGGAGGTGTGCGGCTGAGGGACAGTTCAAGCGTGAAAAGAAAGCCCAAGAATTAGCAAAGTTTTTACAGTTAACCGAGGAAGAAAAGCGGCGTTTTGTCGTTGGGAGAGCAGTGGATAATGCTCTGGAAGACCGTCGCCGCCGTTCTCATTCGTTCCATGTGAGTCCGCGTTTTGCGCATTTGCCGCGGAAGAAGGAACTGTCCAAAAAGGAACAGAGACAGGAGGCTGAGGAGATTTATCTTCGAGGGGAACAAGAAGACAAAAAAAGGCTGCAAAAGGAAAGAAGAAAGGAGAGACAGCGGGAACGGGAAAGGAGAGAAAATAAATGGCATAATAGCAAAGAACGATTAGATTTTTTGCACCTGTCCCGCGATGAGGACAAACGACAGTTTGTGGCTCAAAAGGCGGTAGATGCTGCTTTAAAAGAAGTTAAACAACATCAGTGTATTATAAATTGTTAAAGACGATGTTAGACATTAGACATGTGTGTGGGTAAAAAGCTTGAGGATTTTTGTCATATTTGAACGTCTAATAGAAATGAAAATTAAAAAGGAAATGTTTTTGAAAATGACGGGTGTGTTTTATTGTGTAACCATCACGATGAGATTGTTCAGAGTAATTTGTATGCAACGGCGGGCTTGTTAACTCGCATAATTAACTGACTAACGCTGCGTGAAACGCTCAGAGACTTAGACTGCGAGCAGTCTCTGATTTTTCTTTGCAAAGTTACTGCACGAGAAACCCAAGCACGCAAGCACGCCGCGAGCCGCGATAAACGAGGGCGTAAGCTGGTCCTAATCCCTTATTGTAACTTATGACGTCGTGGTTTGCAATCGCGCTAGCTGAGATAAAAACTAGACGGATTTTAAGAGAAAAGAAGGACTGCAAGCAGTCTATCAGAAACTTTGGTTGGGGTTAGGGTTTAGGGTTAACGAAAGCCATGATGCTCAAAAAGTGAATAAAGGTTTTCTCAAACAAACGAACTCGAATAAATTGTTTTCTCAGTAAAGCGATTGCAACAAAGATAGCGCGTTCGAAATCTACCTGCTTTTATTTTGAACAAATAATAGATACTACATGAGCCAATCAGGGTGGGTATAGAGCGGGCAAGCCTGGGTAAGCCTATTGTTCCTATTGTAGTAGAAACATGCTCATTACATATGGAAGAAGGCACTTATTAGTATGGAGGAATCCACTTTTTCGCGAGGGAATCTTGTATAGGTAAAGAAGGGAATCCACTTTTTGCGAGGGAATCCAAAGGGAATCCACTAAAACGGCGTATAATGACCCTCTACCACTACTCAGTGGGTAGGTTCAACAATAGTTCATTACCTCAGTACTGTTCCAAGCAAACTGATTTTGAAAAGCTCTGTTCGGCCGGTTTTGAGAAACATATTCTGTGATATCATCTTTCACACACTTAGCAGATTGGTTAAGGATGGTATTTCCCACAGTGGAAGATCGTTGAAGAAGAGATCCTCTTTCCGTGGACGCTTGTCTACTGCTGATCTCGTCTAGTTTCTTCAGCACCTCGTCTTCTCTTTCCATGCGTTTCTTATATTTTTCGGTTAACTTCTCTTCTCTTGTGAGGCAATCTTCCAGTTGAGATTGAAGCATCTTGATTTGCGAATCTTTTTCTGCGATCTTTTCGTTTTTCTGTGTGAAGGAGTAGACAGAATTACTAGCAAAAAAAAGGGCTGTCGACGATAATACTTTACGACTACCAGCAATCGACTGAATCTGTCCATTCCCAATTTCTTTTGGTTTTTCAGCCTACACCTGCATCTAATTCGACAGCAAATGTTTCTAAGCTCGGTTTTTTAATTTGAAATTGGACGAAGATCTCACAATGGATTGGGAATTCTACATCGTCTAAGTTAGCCTGATCTAAATCTATGGTAGGGCGTCAACGCTCAACCAAACTTCCCACCATTTAGTGCTCGCGACGATTGACGTTCATGCTGTCGCTCTTTTCTTCTTTTATTCGTAAATATTATGGTAGTAATTATTTACCATCGATACTTACCTTAGTTATAATTTCCTTTAGATCTTCGTTTTCTTTAAGATCCTTCCTGAGACATCCAAAGCTCTCCAACAAGTCATCTTTCACTAAGATTAATTAACCAACATGGTTATCAATTGCATACTGAAAGTAGAAAAAGGGAATACAGCAGCATGAATAGTTGTACATTTGCTTACATTTTTTTATAAGGTCAGCTGACTGGCTTGCAGCTGTCGCAACTTGCTCTGCCTTGGAGGCCAGTGTAGAATCGATGCTGTCCTTGAAAGAATCCATGGCAGTTTTCACCTGAAATTTTATTCAACTACAAGTTTTTGGTGTTCAATTCAGGTTTACGAGAGTCCTTTAATTAAGAGATCACAACGCCCTGGTATGGGGAAAGTTTACGCAGCATTGTTTCATGCATAGGAAACAAACGTTTTCTTTTTTAGGTATCTCATTATATTTCTCCTAACTTCAGCCACAATTTAAAAAATCTCCTTGCAGCGTAGAGGGAATAGCGAAATCCAGAAATTCTTGCATTGCCCTTTATATATATCGTGTCAGTAAAAATCATTAAAGGTGTGAAACAGAGGTAAAAGGTTTCCCTGGAATTTGTTTTAACTGTCTTGGATACCGAAGCTAAGTGCGATCATCGGGGAGCATCTGGCACGACGCGTTCATGTTCCCCTTCTCTTGCTCACAGCGCAACAGACTTGTTGGTTTAAACGGGGTTTATACTCATACGGAAATAAGCTTTAATAGGCCAGTTGCACTAAGAGGTCACGTGACCAGTGCTTCCTTTAAACGATGAGTTGGAATCTTGAGAGGAAACGCATTTTAGGGTGATATTTTATGGTACTTTGATTTTTCAACAAAGCAGTATGATTTGTATTGGCCGCCATTTTGGAGGGCATACTCTTGCCCTCCAACATGTTGGCCAAAACTACTTTTTGCTTATATCTTACGTTTGATAGTTACGCTCAGATGTGCTGTAAACGTTACCACATCATCTTTTCAACATTTTCTTTGAACTTTAACTGCAAAATTTGTGTTCTGAAAGATGTAATTCCTAATTTTAAAAATCACATTTTGGTCACGTGACCAGCTACAAACTTACTCATTTAAAAAAAAAAAGTGCGGGTTTGACAAACCAAATCACTATTATTTTGTTTAAGATATGACCCACTAATCGTCTTTCGAATGCAAAATCATATAACTTTCATTTTCATAAAAACGATGTCACATGACCTCTTAGTGCAAATGGCCTATTCTCCCTTTCCGGAACTTACCTCTTTTGTATAGTCTTTAAGCAATGATATGAAACTATCAAGAACATCCCTGTGGCGAAATTAAAAAAGAAAACTTGAAAAAAAGTGTATTTGAAGTTTAATGCAGACCTCACAGTATTAATTTACCTATCACTTCCCACGCAAAATTTATGTTAGCTTACCTGTCATCTCTCTCGGCTGTCTGTTTCTTCTGAATTTCTATCATTTCTTTATAACTTTTTACTGTCTGCGGAGGTTTTTGCATCTTCTGAGATTGGCGTTCAGAGTCAGAAAATAGCGGTGGCTTTGTCAAGTACCTCATGTAATACTTCACCGGTTCGTCCTAAATACAAGGTACTGATCACATTATGTCGCGGACATGGGATTTGTTGCTTTTCTTAAAAGCCCACATTTGTTTTTTTATTTCTTTCCTACTTTGCATGAGCCTTTCCAAGGGCCTAAAAATACTAGACCTTTAATCGCTCATGTGATCTCTGTAGAATAGCCGCTAATAGCCGTGGCAGGATTAGCTCAGTCGGTAGAACGTTTGACTGCAGAGCGGGAGGTCGCGAGTCGATTCCCGGGGCCGGACCATTCCTCAGGGTCTTAAAATGACTGAGAAATGAAGGTACTTCCTTTGCACTGCAAGCGGCGAGACCTTCGCGTGGCTCGGATGACCACGTAAAATGGCGGTCCCGTCTTTATTAGGAGACGCAAAAATAGTGTCCCCAATTAGCACTTTCGTGCTAAATACAATGACACTCAAACAAAAAGTGCATTTTTTTAACACCCAGCTACCACTACACGGCACGAAGCTAATGTTCTAAGACTCCAACTGTATGATAGTCTATTTCAAAATCTAAATCACTTCCTCATGATCAAACCCCATCATACAAGCTAAACAATACCTCTACTAATTGCTGTGAATTCGACGGTTGCGACCAAACGTCAAAGGAGCTAAGACCCTTTAGCTGGCTCATTCTGGATTGTGAAAACATATCTGAAGAACTGTTTTGTGAGCCTTGAGAACCGGCTATTTGACTCAGCTGTTCGCTGTCCCACAAATCTCGACTGTAAAAAGGTAAAATGGAAACTGAATAATTAGAAGCCTGTCCTTTTCCTCTATTTTTTGGGGACAACACTCGTTGCACAATCATTGTAATTTGCTTTCTCCACCCTGCCAGAAATAAATAGTCCTTTTTCACGAGCGACGTACATGGACCTCAGAGCAACATTTGTGCATATGTAGCATGTTTAGCAAGTACATAAGCTTAAATTTAAGGTAAAAAAAAGGATTTTTGTACTCAGCTCGTCTCAATACTACACACTAACCGTTATTGCTTCAAAGATGAAAGCTAATTTTGCATTCTTTAATAAAAAATAAAATGCTACACAAAAGACTTTTAATGTGTTGAATAATTGTAGATCATTTACTTGAAAGTGCCTTACTTTGGGTTTGTTCTAATTATCCCAGTAAAAGAACCTGTTTGCAACTTTTGTTTTTCTAGGCTCTGTTGTGTCCTCTTTGTTTTCTTTGGTTCTTATAACACCGAAAATGAGCCCTAAGCCCTAACTTTACAGTTTTTAAACTTAAGTTGACATTCGTAGTTTAGGAATATTAGAAAGTGTCGGATGTTCCCTGAGATTAATGAACTCGTTAACAAGCTTGCTCTACTTACCAAGGATTTGAATTGTACAGTTCACGGGCAGGAAAAACGTTTTGCATCTTCCCTGGCTTCTTTGGTGATCAGATTCCCCTAGCGCCTCTGATGAAAAGAAATTCCTTGGAAGACTTTGAGTACTGTCAAAATATTCAGTAATATTAATAATAATGACAAACTTAAGCTTAAACCATAGGTATTGTTTGTTGAAAATAAAACCTTCAAAATCCCCGTAGGAAACAATGAAGATGGCAGCCGCGCCAAGTTTCCCGCCCTTTTTTCCACCCGTGTTCAGTACTGTGGGAGGGAAGGGAGAGGAGAGACAGTGCTTGTGGAGTGAAAAGGCCGACTTGTATTGTGGCAAGTCTAAGAACGCGTAAATATGCCTCCTCTACCACAAGTTTGTAAACGGAATGACTGTAAGTCGTATATCGGTATTTCATGATCAATATGCATTTTTTCAGGAGCTCATGAGCTCCCTATGTTTTTTAATCGCTTTGACACGCGTGCACGCGAGTGAAAACTATGTCTACGGAGTTGAGAATATTTAGAAACAAAAACAAAATAAAGCAAAGAAATCTAATTTTAAAAACATTTTTATATTACCTTTAGGTTCGCGGATTTTTTAGGGGGAAGCTGCTAAAATTCACTGCTGCAAACATTGATGTTTTCATTAAAATTGACATCTGACGCGCTGAAGCGAAACCAAATTCAATTGGTTGATTACTCGTGGGACTGTCAATTAATCACTAATTAAAGGCGCTGTGTCACGCTGAATGGGTTCCGTGGTAACCGAACACAACAAGTTCAGTGTTACATCTAAGCGTAGAGAGATTCTTAAAATTGAGACTTAAAAATTAGAGGTTTAACGCTGTTAAAACATCAGATGGGTCGAATATGACAAATATGGATGATATTCGAGGAACATGGGTAAGTATTGGGCTCAATGGTTGTGTTTTGTTATTTCAAAAGCTTGATTGCCCGACCGCCGACTGAAAATTGTCTAAACATCTCGAATTATCTAGTTTCCTACAGGTTTTCACGGACACTTTCGCAGCAAATCACGTTCAGAGTTTACAATTCCTTATCGGCAAAGAGCGAAGCCTTGTCCGCCAAGAAAGTTTCTTAATTACGCGACGGTAAGTGTATTGATGGCGATTTATGTCAGCTGGTATCACAGCTGTAATGAAGAAGGGTAAACAAAGTTTAAGCAACACCATGAAATGGAATACCTTCTGATCTGTCATGATCAGCGAGTATTTCGTCTTTGAAATGAAGTTCCCTATCGTTCCCCCACGCGCGCTACGTATATTTAAGCTTTCTTTCAAGAAGACATATTTTTATGTTTCTATCACATTTCACAACTATCAAAATATGTTCTGCCTATGGCTGTCACGGCTCATGGTATAGCTCAGCTGTTTAGCTAGACGGGGCTATAGTATAGATTGCTTTTCTAAAACGGAAGCGAAAACTTGCTACTAAAAAAAAAACAAGTTTTGACAGATTTTGAAATTCAATCAATTTGTAAAGAACCGATCACAATATTGAAGCCTAAGAACGGACACGATAAATAATTAACGACCATTTGAATGTATCAATCTACATGTTAAAATATTATTGTGACTGGTTGACATCTACAATGATAAGCCGCTATCCTAATTAATAAAAATTCAGAAGAAAGTCGTATTTTTCTCTAGTTTCTCCCTCAGATGGTCCATTGCAACTCCTGGTTAGAATACTATAAAGGTCTGCTGAAAAGCAGAGCATAGTCGTCTGGGACGTTTTTGATGAATGCTACCCACCAGTTAAGAAAGTCTCTTAAGTCCATTCAAAGATTTTTTTATTTACCCACTCCCTGGTCTGTTAGTTACAGAAGCAAGGATTAGTATAGTTGGTTAGTGCACGGCTTTTTGTGCAAGAGGTCCTGATTCTGATTCCCATGCATGACCTTAAATCCTTGTTTTATTGACTTCATTTCCTTGTTGCTTAAAACAACTTTAAATATACCGGCACCTATAAAACTGGTGGAAAGAGAGGGGTAAAATGTGCACACTATCAGCTTCAGGTTTCTTAGTAAGGTGATGACTTTTTCAAGCTACATGGTAAATAGAGTGTTTTCACATGACACCACGGCGGCCATATTTGTGTCCCAAAACAATGAAAGGGTGGCCATGTTGGTGTCCCAAACTAATCCTCTGGGAGTTGAACTCTTTTCTTATGCAAGCGCTTTCTTTTGTTCCAATAAATTTGCATAGATGCTGGCCACGTGAGTAAAAAACACTCTATAAAATAAAAATGCTTTACCTCTCTACCTTTGTGATTCTCCTGTGAAAATGACTGTTGGACTTGTCTGAAATTTTCCCTTCAGGGTCCATGTGCCAGTGTATCATTTTTGGGGGCGTATTCACTTTCACCCCAAAGAAGTACTTCTTATAAAACAGCAAGAAAGCAAACACTAACTATTTTTAAAAACATAACAAAACGTTCAACAGCATCTTAGTTACTTATGCCAGGATAATTTCAAAGAAAACAGCTTGCTTAAATTGAGTCAAACCCAGTTGGCTTTAAAAAGGTACTGTTACTGATAGCTTCCTTCATGAGGTTTCTTCACCAATAAGAATTACAGCATATGAGTTAGTTGCCCGGGGGAGGGGGGGAAACTCCGCATATGAAAGGAGTGGGGATGCTTGTCGTCTTGCTTAGGGGTGTAAATTTCAGATTTTGGTCTCATCTAGGGAGTTCTGGGAAAAATGCCATCATATTTAGCCGTGAAGCTCTCGTTTAGGGTTGCACGCGAAAAAATATAAAAATATATATTTGATATGTATATTTTTTATTTGTTTTATTTACTCCATTCATATAATCCAAGTTTCCTCATTTGTCTGTGTTTTAACATGATCTCTTTTAGGGGTCAAAAAAAGCTTGGGCCATACCCAGATCGGTCTCCTTTAGGGGTTTTATTCAAAATTTCCGACAAGCATCCCCACCCCTTTCATATGT